CTGTGGGAGGGGCGATAATTCAATGTGCACCGGAATCGCCCCGCCCACTCTCCCAAAATGTGGACCGCTTTACGTTATTCACTACTCTCTAAAGCCGGATAGCTCGGAAATTTTTGCTGGAAGGGCGTTATGTAAGCCTGGTTGGGAAGGTTGTCCATGTCATTTTGATGGGTTCATTTGATTTCTTCGCTCCAAATAAAGTACCCACCGTCGTGATGGACCACATGTGTTGTGGATAGTGATCAGACTCGTTGTCGAGCGTATTACCGCCAAGCACATATTTCCGTACTTCTTTCGCATTCATTTCACCATAGGGCTCCTTTCCATCGTGAAACACCTCAAATGGAAATAGAATTAACTGTGTCTACGTGTTCAGAGTGTCCATGTACGTAGATTCGAAACATCGCCGTGACATACACTCACGTTGGAAATGAAAGATGCTCCAGTAGCATGGCAAATTTTTGGTTGACTCACCTCCCACACGAACACTCCAAAACTCCACACGTCTGTTTTTACGGTATATTCCCTCTTCTTGAGCGTTTCCTGGAGCTAAATATCGTACTGGTACCTGCAATAATAGCACTTTTTCATAATCATTGCTTCTGACCTTTCAAGTAAGGGTACTTTAAAATTTGCTAGAACAATGAACACCATTGGAACTTTTTCAGGGTTCTTGCCATTCAATAGGCTGAAACCAATGAGTGAAAGAACCAGTAACGATTTTTACCTTCTTCAGCGTTTTCTCTTTCTTCTGCGTTCCCACAATACTCAACCCAAAGTCGGAAATCTTCGCCGTATCGTGTTTACCGATCAAGCAGTTTCGTGCAGCGACGTCTCGATGGATAATCTTAAATGGTAAGACATCAATGGGAGGTGCTTGAGCTCGAATCCCTCATTAGGTGAAATTATGAATTTACTCTATAAGGAGCTTCTGTTCATACTTGCACACTGAACGTGACCGTCACTTAGAGACATCAGGAGCAAGGGTTCTACTCAAAGCAAAGTTCTGTATTTCTGAACTGAATAAAGCTCTTCGCGAGAAAAGATAATGGAAGTGGAAACCGTACAACGCGCTACGGTTTATCCTATTTGGCTCGACTCAACAGGGCTGAAGAAGCTCAAGGCCAAAGGATTTACCACATGCTCCGCCCACCTTACAGTACACCCCGCCCCTCAGTGCCTTTTCGTCTCGTCGCTACTGAATAGGGAATTCACTTTCGTTTTTTGTCCACGAGTTTTTTTCCCGTTTTTTACCCCTCCATGTGCGTACACCCACATCTTCAACTGGCTGACTTACATTGCGCAATAGATAGCCACTGTACGATCCCGGCCTTTGCCGTAAAAGAGGCCCCCGCTTGCGTTCACCGCCACACGATTGTTATGTGTTGGAGGCAATACCTACTGTGTTTATTGATCGACTGTAAAAAGGTGTTCGAGATGTGGATAAGATCTGGGAAGAGGAGCGTGGTCTGCGACGTTTCTTGACTTGCTTGCGGAATCGGCGATTCACTATTCGCCTTGGCACGCTAACTTCTTACGCGTACTTTCCTTGGCGCATGCTTTGGAGCAAGCGGTTATGGTAGAGGCCAAATGAATAACGCCATCCCGAAATTAGGCCGCGGCGGAACCGCCGCGCGATGACCTATTAGGCTTTCATTCGTAGTGTAAATCGAGTGTGCAGTGAAGTGAATTATGATGCACAGAAGGTGTTCCCTAACCGTACTCACGCCATCATTATACAGAATTCCTTCAAAGTTCCTGAACGTCAGGAGTTCCAGTACCCCGAAGGGTATGATGTCGCAGAAGTACAAGGCCCAATTTTTATGTGACTAGATCTGTTTTTGCGGCGTCGCGATAATTTCGCGTCGCTTGATCGCTGCGACATTTCCGCGCGTTTTTTGTTACAATTTGCGCGATGATAACTAAAACCCAGCTAGGGCTGAAGCGCTCACTCACCCCCTGCTTGGAAAGATAGCTGAGGCCAAGAGCAGCATGATTGCAGTACTTGATACGGACGTAAATGGACGGTCCGGGTTGTTGTTGCACGGCGTCAAGGACGGATCCGCCTGAAACTGGGGTTCATGAGAGTTCCTGGGTACGGATTTGATACCGGCAGAACCCAACAGCACCTTGTGCGAACTCCATGACGATCATCACGGGCTCCTCGTTTGACGCGACTCCAATCAGCATCACCACGTTCGGGTGGACCAGCCGCCTCATCAGCATGGCTTCCTGTAGGAATTCGTAGATTCGCGGGGCAGCAGTCCTTAGAACAGGGGAAAAGCAAACCCTGAATAGTTTTTCATTTTCTTCGGTTGAAACTGTCCCGAGAATGGTTTTGATGGCAACTTCTTTGGAATCGATCAGTCCACAGTGAAGTACTCCTTTGTAGACATCACCGAAGGCTCCATCTCCGAGTTTCTTCGTTCTAAATGAACCATTCGTCATTCATTCTTCGGTAGATGCATTTTATAGGAAGTCTAGGATTGCTGTGAATTTTCAGAAGTGGACGCGTGCGGTTGCGTCGCGACGCACCAGTCGTTCTCAGAGGCAGTTTCAGGAATGAGGACATCAAGAGGCCTTCGAGGTCAAGAGGCCATCAAGCGCATTTCTGTGGCAATTCCAACATTCGGTGGAAGGCGATCGATGAGTTATTTCTGTGCACTCAAGCTACCTCCTGAGTTTCCTTGATTAGGAGGCTACACTATGAATTTCTCGCGACGCAACCGCACGCGTCAGCACTTGATGAACCGCGTACTTGACAATCTGCTCATGGTTCAGTTGCCATTCAGCTCGTTTGATGGCACGTTTGATCAGCGTTCCGTCCTCGTCAAACGCGATATGATTTCGACGGTGATATTCTATCAATCCTGGAAGCACTCGAATCAGACTTGATCAATGGAAGGACTCTTCCAAGCTGTTGAAATCCGTGAAACGATGCTTGAATCGCGTACCACAGGAACGTATAGCAACTTTGCACGCCTAATGTACTTATCGGAATATGTCTCCAGCTCCATGCTCGTCACTTTTACGCTTCTTTCCTTACCACCCCCTGAAGAACGTCTACTGTTTGGGAGTATCAAAGCGGCTCCGCATAGAAATAGGGATACGCAGCGTGTGTCCCGCCCTCAACCCCTCGCCCTGGCCCCGGGTTGTGTCTACTTGTTGCGCGCTGCATATCCTCTCTTCAAGACCGAACGACGTGGAGCATATTTTCAACGGGAGACTCGACCGGGCAAGGGCGTTGTTTCGTGTGTCGTGACGGATCAGCCGTGGTCAGGTCTGAGCGGTAAGCGCGGTAGTATCGTAACATGCCACACGCGGAAAAAGCGCCCGTCTCCCAGTTGAAGAAAGGCGTCTAACTGCTTTCCGCTGATATCCCGCGTTCTGGAGGGTCGTATTTACGACTTTGGGAGGGGAATTCGTATATGGGACTGACCAAAGGTGGCTGTTCCTGACGGGTTTCGCGGTGTTGGAAGATTCACGGGAGAAAAGAGGGAATCAGAGGATTGGCTATTTCGTCAGACAAGTTTACTCCCCCCCAATGGGAAACCAGCTCCAAGGCTGATGATGACGTATGGGAAACCTTGTGTAAGGCTGATCGTGGTAGTGGGAGGGGGTCGTAAAACCTTGAAAAATGCCAAGGCTAGGTTTGGTTTTATCACGCATTGTATGTAGCTATTTACGGTATCGCGGAGAGGATCTTGTCGTAGGACACGGGAGGACGTACCTCTGAACCTGTGGTGGAGTGGTGAGCAATTCTCGAGGGTGAGGGTTTTAGCAAGTATGGCCGGATCTGGCCCTAAAGGCCATGAGTGCGAGACACGCGTTGATCCACGGCCTTCACAACTTACCTCGACTTCATCGTCTGTTTTAGTCTGGTTATTGTTTTTCTGCTGAGCATGCTGAAGAAAGTTAATTTATGATGTTTAAATTTTAACAAGTTCTTTAACTGGACGGCTGGCAACTGATACCTTGCCGACATCTTCGCTCGGTAGCGACTTTCTGACTGAAATGATGAACTGCTCCTGAAACAAAAAACTGCTGAATGTTCATCGATCTAATAATGACCTTAAAAGACAAATGTGCCCAAGGAGGGGTCCTTTCTGCTTGTCTATGCACTCTTTCTGAGAGAGTGGCAGTATTGACTGTGAAACAAAAAAGATCTCTGAGTTAAGGGGTATAACCAAATTCGGAGAGGAGAAGAGCCTCTTATCTTGTGTAAAGTTTGCAAGGTGAATGATGACGGTAGTCTTAGGTGTTTTCTCGCCGAGGGAGAGTGCAGAGAAGCAGAAAACATCCTGCTTAAAGCACCTTGCGCCTAGAATAAGTAAAATTTACCGCAGCAAATGACTTCAGCTCGAGTCGTACTGCTTGCCTCACCAAAAAATCGCCAACTTTAACCAGCAAGTCGTACGTCTGCAATGCCCGTCAGATCTTGAGCCTACAGAACAAGCTGATTGTTATCTGAACCGTGCTATCGTGGTGCTATCGCAAGATATAGGGACATTTCCTGGACTAAGCTCATGATAAGCCTGTGGGAGGCAGGAACTAATGGAAGAAGCCTCTCTCTTTGCCTGAGGCTCAATCCAGGCTCAATTCTTCTGTCGTTAAATACACAAACTTGATGTTGCACGCAAGAAGCCTCTCTCTGCCTTAGGCCTCCAGTTTTGGCTCTTCCTGTTTCCCCCAGTTCCCTACCTGCAAGAAAGTCCCCTACTTGCAAATCCTTTTATGGCTCCTTTGGCCGTTGAATTAGAGCTATCCATTTGGCTCCCGTCCACCATGATGCTTTCGAATCCTCTTTTACTCGATACTTATCGATCACAGGCGCGCAATATTATTAGAATAGAACCCATTTCGGGGCTCTGTGGAAACACCCTAGGCTCCCGTCATACTTAGCGAGTTTGCCTACTCTAACAAACACCTTGGTAGGCCCCACGCACAATTGAGTGCCGAGAAGTTGCGCAGCACTTTATTCGAGACATTCGGAACCCCCATGGCATGCCGACCCCTACGTACTGCTAGGCCAAGCGACCATGATGGGGAGGAACCAATGTGGTGTTGCACAAATCGGTCATCGATTGATCCAAGGTATCGCACGCGACGCCCAGAACTGTGACTGTTGCCGCGCAGTGACTTGTACTCGCCTACAACGTTCTATGGGCGGACAAACCAATCAATACGTATGTTGCCTTCCCCGATTAATCGCCTATTCCCATATTGCACGTACGATCGCCAACTCTGAACATTCCCATCGAGCTTACATCTACACTGTAAGTTGTTGCTATCGCTTCTGGATTCGAAACTCCGCGACTGTAATCGCAGAGTGAGTGTGATCGTGATAGACGCGTGTTAGCTTTGCGGCTGCCACTCTCCACTTGTGATTCTGGCATCGCTGCCAAGCGATACTTCATTTTTGGTCGGTTCCATAAGCAATGGTCGGGGAACTTTGGCTACAGGTTATAATCTCCACTTTGGGCTTGATCACCCAACGCGCAGCCCTTGTGAGTAGCAGTAGAGTAAAGAAATATAGCGGTCGCTGTGACGCCCCTTATCTAGTTTACGGTGGCGACGGGGAAAATTGAAAAGGTATCTGTCGCGCGTAATCCAAGACTGACACCTCAACTGTCTCATTCGAGCTAGACGTATACCTGTGCCCTTTGGATACTGACTGCGCTCCAGCGGAACATTTGGCATGAAATAGGTTCGGAAATTGCGCCAGGTGAATAGCGGAATAGGCAACAGCGAGAGCAGACGAATAGACGGCTGAGCGATAACGTAGAAGGTACGCATACGATCGCACTCGCTTGCTCGCCTAAGGTGTATCAGGGTCCCGATCCAGTCGCGCGATTTTTCGCCTGCGAATCGCAAGTGTCCTACTTGAACATTCGAACCCCTGAATTTGATACAAGTAGATTTACAAACAGTCACCATAACCATCAAGATGAAGAGGTGGCAGGATTGGAAAGCAACTCGCAGCATTGATTTGGGTACTTGTAATTTCTATGATACGTCGCGCGACGGATCGCGGACTCTGGTAGCGGCCTAATAGCGGGCCATGAGCGTCTACCCGCCTATTCGAAGTGATCTTTGCGCGTCGTTAGCTATTTGTCATGCTGTCGATGAGGTGAGTCGTCTCTGTGAAACACTGCGGCGTATAAGGCCTAGCCTGTGTATAGTGCTGCTCAAAATTGCTCATTCCATTCAACTTTCTCGGAAGGGGCCGAGACGGATACTTGAGGGTCATCTGCAGAGACCGCAACTCTTGCTATGGGCGGTTATGTTACGGAAAGCTCCAGAACTGGGAATCTACCAAAAAACCACAACGTTTTTGCAATTCGCCCCTTTGGTTCACCAAAAGACGTAAGGGACGTATGTTTGAAGATCTAGTAGACACCGGATAGTGGGCGCTCATGTCCATGGAGGGGTGGAGGGACATGTGAAGCAGCGGATGGTAAGTGTCACTATGCCAGGGAAAGGAGGAAATGCCAGGGAGGATCACTGATGTTCACATCCTCCCCCAGCCCTCCTCCTCTCTACGCTTTGTCCCAAACGCTGTAAGTGGCTCACTCACCTGAAGACCCACCCCCAAACGTCATAAGCTCCAATTACCCTTGGACTCCTAACTGAAACGACATTTCCACGAACACCCTCGCAGGGTTCTCCTGGTATAGACTATCCTGTAACACCAAGACGTACCTGCTCCTTCGGTAGGAATCCGTGAAAGTAGTCTTCATTCTTGACACTATGCAATCCGCCTGCTAAAGAGTCACGAATCTTCGTTATGTGGACCTTATGCCGATCTGCCGCCGCATCCTGGAACGTAGTCACGTCAGCACCCTACAATCGCACACAGCAGCGCAGCAACATCGTTGCGTACTTTGCTTCCTTGCTCCTTTGACTCGAAATGGTTCTGTACGGGAAGTGTAGCCTCCTTTCGCTGTTGCCATGACCAGTATGTGAATTGTTGAACACCCCAGAAGTGGGGTATTTATAACTGCGTGCCCTTGATAGCTGTATGATATCGGATCCACTGTGAGCTCGAGAAGCTCACGTAGCATTCACTTTCGCACTCTATGGGATGGCGGGTCGTAGATGTGTTTACTGGCTGTACACATTTGCTGGGGCCGCGTTAAGAGTTGGCGATTGCACACGCGACCAATGGAGCGTTCATAGTTGGCGATCGTACGTGCGATCAGGCGACTAGCGATTAGGCGATTAGGCGATGATTCAAAATGAAAAGTATGCGGATCGATTAGGCGATTAGGCGATTAGGCGAATAGGCGAGTAGAGGGTACCTATTGATTCTTTAAGATTCTGAGATTGAGATTTTAGGAGACATATTGATTCTATAAAGGAGGGTACATATTGATTTGTTGCTGTCCATTGGGCGATCACCTAATCGCCTCGCCTTCTCGCCTTACTCGCCTAATCGCCTAATCTATACGTATATTTTTCATTATAGACGAATCGCCTAATCGCCTAATCGCACGTGCGATCGCCAACTATGAACGCTCCATAAGCTATCAGACATTCTTGGAAAGTATAAGGGGGTGTCGATTAGGCGATTAGGCGAGTGAGCGACTAATCAAGTAAATGATTAGGCTAGTAGGCGACAAGAAGAAAAGGATACATATCGTTTCATTAGGTTCACCCGTTGAGCTATCGCCTCACCTATTGCCTAGTCGCGTATACGGTCGCGAAGTATGAACGCTGCCTACATGATTGCGGACTACGCGAGACGAGTTGACACCAGGGAATATTCTTTCAACAGTTCTTTGTCTCTGCATCGTCATTTCGTTTTGATTGCAAAGGTTTTGGACGCATACCTTTGTTGTGACGGAAGTGACGAGCGTGGCGCAATCCCGCGCCTCCGGAAAAAAGCTGGTTCGCTTCATTTTTCTATTTTTGTTCCAGCAAGATCGAATAGTCTATGATGTTTGTGTGGGGGTGAAGCCATGGAGGCCTTGAGCAGCCGTTGTAGATGAGCCACGCAAGACAACCTCTTCAAACAAGAAACACGGAATAATTGGATGCGTGTCTGTTCAGTACTTTGTTGCGGAGATCAATCGATGCAATTCAAATGTTCTTGTGCTGTGCTTCCGACAATAAGTGGGCATCTGCAGATAAAATGAAGCAAGTGAGCCTTGTCCCATCACTCTCGAATGGTGCGAAGTGATAGATCAAGGAATCACATATGGCAAGACCTGCGAATGTGTGACATCATACGAGCAGATTGTTCAAGCGCAGGACCGACCGCTAGGAGCTCAAGCGTTTTCAAGCTCCGTACTGGCTTCGGTAGCGTCCCCCATCTGAGTCTTCCCTGTCCCTGTCTTCTTTCCCATCTTTACCGTCAGATTATCTCTCTTAGACACACTCTGTCGCAGTCCCTTGCAATGATCACATATCGGTTCTTAGGAGACCTTTTATCGAAGATCGCAACGTTCTCGGTGCTGAGAACGGGGTATTAGGGGGGGCTTTCGTAATTGTGCGCGCGAATATGTCTATCTTCTCGCGGCGCTTCAGCTTTTCCCTCAAATGTAAAGTCCCTCACTCACTCTCCTCCTCCTCAGAGTCGCCTACATTCCCTTTGGCTCATGGATTCCTCACTAGTGCGGGAGCATGCCGAGCACCGCCTACCAACTGCCTCCCCCCCCGCCCAACGTACGCTAGCAATCCAGTTTCTAGAACGGCACCTTCCTCTCCTCGCCGCCCCACTGGATCCAGATTTCATTTTAGGACTTCAATATATTTTTTCCTGAGCTTTGTGGCCGGTAGCTTTAATGCAGCATTTATATAAAAATTAGTTGGGTTGGGCCACGTTGTGGATCTTCGAGGCGCCTTCTGGTGGTGGACCTTTGGCTCGTCGGGTTCCTGCCAACTCAGATCTCGTAAACTTTATAGAATGAAAAACATAACAAAATTTTGTTTATTTTTCAGGATCACCTAGACGTGATTAATGATAATTGATACGGCATCATGGTATGACAGTCTAAAAGGAACAAATCTGCTGGGATACCTACTGGATTGGTTTCGCGACCTAAGCGATTAAAAACTAATGTAAGAAAACACAGATATTCGATCTTTTGGGGGTAAAAACGAAAACTGATGAAGGACGGATAATGCACTCGAAAATTACAAAATATGCCGTATTTGGTTGTGTAAAATATTTTTCTGGCATGCAAATACTCGATGTTTTTAGTGATGATTCTCTCCACATTCTTCAATGTGGATATTTTCGAATTCGTTGAAGGGTCTGTTCGACGAATGAGCAGCGAACTTCGCACATCAGCTCGAATCGTTGACACCATGTCTTTGCTACGTCACAATAGAAGGCCTGAAATGGATAGAATTTCGACTAGGCCAGTTTTTTAGGCGCACGGATACTGCGCGGGTCACATGGCTGCTGAGAATGGGCTACTTCAAGAGGACCGCCAGCACTCGGCCATCCAACCATGTAGTCCAATTCCCATGTTCGTGTTTGGGTTTGTCACCAAGCACCTGAATTCCTCATTTCAGGGTCCTCCCATCCCAACAGCTTATCGAGATGTTGGAGTGTTTCCTCATCTCATTCGGTGTGGGAATGAATGCATGGCGCATCCCGTAACGAATGAGAAGGGTGGAGGAGGGGGTAGAGCGCAGACGGGTAGAGGACAGCTGTGGTTTCAGTTCCGAACACTGCTGCCAAGAGAATCCGTAAGCAAGGGATATGCAAGGGACTAGGGCGGGAATGAGTGAGCCGGATACCCGACGGACCTGTCGCTAGGCGAAAAGGCAGAGACGCAGACGGATCAGCGGACGAGCTGCAGCGCGAATAATGTGGGAAGTGCTATAGTGCATTCTATTGGACTTGACGCTAAATCGCTACAGTACGCGCTGCGACTCGTCCGCTGACCCGTCTGCGTCTCTGCCTTCTCGCCGCGCGACGGGCCTCCTGTCGGGCACTCGGGGAGCTTTTTTAAAGTGGAGCAAAACTGGAGCTTGCGTGGTCACGGTGGTCATGAGGTCACGAGACTCTATTTAGTTGAGAGAACGCAGATGGCGGCATCACATTGACCAG